TATATATAATTAATAAGCTCTTTTAATTATTCCGTTTATTTTGAACTATATAAAACTGGCAAATACAAGTACCATGCTAACTGGTAATGAAAGATTTTCGTAACTTCGAATTTAACTTCCTCCACTAACTCAATTTTCTTTCTGTTCCTCATTAGACCGTACTGCATATGACCTCGAAGGGCCGGAACGATCAAGACATCTGAAACTTCTCAGTACATAAAAACAATAATAACAAAAAATTAAAGGTTGAATATAAGAAAAAAAAGTACGCTTCTGGTTTAGATGCAATATACCTATGGCAAAATACAACAAGTATCTATACAATATGATTCATAAAAAAAATATTTGGTTTTCGCATTACTTCCAGCCAAAAATAGCTCAGCTGGCTTCTTTGTGAAAGTGCTCATTGCTAAGCAATACATAAGTACTTGGGGTTTGATTAATGCTTAAAAACGGAGCAGATGATAGCAATATATAGTACTGCTATATAAGTTCGGCAAACTCAATTTCAATAGGATTAACAGTTCAATAAGTTGGCTCTAGATTCCCGCGTGATATATCTACGTCGAAATATTTGTTAGAAAAAGTAATAAGGAAAAAATCGATACGTTCATAAGGTTTGATGATTAAATCGATTTCTTCAATAAATAATTTGGGCGAATAGATAATGTGGAAGATTTCAGGCTGATTTTGCTGTTTATATGGCTACTAAAAAGTTTTCTTCGTTGCTTTCTATAACCTCGAAGCCTTTTTGGATCTTTTTTTCAGTGAATTTTACAAGTTGAAGTCAGTTAAATGTTTGGTGCTATCGCTACCCTTTGCGTTATTTACAAAGGAGTCCGCCTTCTCTCCCTTAAAATGGTTGTGTGGCAGACGACGTTTGTTTCGACATCTGATCACCAAAGAAAATACTTAGCATCTCTCTAGTGCTGGCCGGCTCTACGGAAGGGTTCTTTACCGATTAATCTGTTTTGTTTTATAGAGAAAATATATGCAAACCCATTAGCTAACGGTGTTTTCAATTTAGTTAGAGACACTTTCTATAAAATTCATTATCACGGTAGCTGTGTTAGAAATAGCCAATCCACAGATACCCACGAAGGCTCAGAACGGTGCATGAAATACATTCAATTCCGATTCAATGTATATGAATTTCAATCTATTGATAAAGGAAAATCTTTGGCTGGATAATGTGTTGATTTTCTGACAATGATGAAAGTTGTATATGTGAATGCGTAAGCATTATTTCAAGTGGGAAGACATCCGAAAGCTTAAATTTGCTACGAGCAAGGTATTTTAAATTATTCCTATAAGGAGAACTTAAGGTGTTTATATCATGTTAACCTAAGCTTCAGCTCAAAGTGATTTTATTTCAAATAGAAAGCTTAATTTCTGTAGTCAGATATTTTAAGTGTAAGATACCGTTTTTTTGCTAATATAAAGACTACATTTTTAACAGAACTGTGCACTATCATTTATTGAAAAAGGATATAGTCAACAATGATAAGTAATGATATATGCCTATTAAATGTCAAACTTATTTGCCTTTATCAAAATGGAATAAATGGGAGCTATTCGGTCGATAATTGACCAGTGGCAATATATATATATATATATATATATATATAAAAGCAGGATGCAACCTTGTGCAATACATATTATATGCTTTTAATTCAGGCTACACACAAAAGTATTCGTATCTGCCACATTCGTTGATTTTCAAAAGAGTTACTGATTTGGGTTAGTGCAGTTCGGTGGCAACGTTTTTTGACTGCTGGATTTTTTTTATTTTGAACCCGATTAACCTAAATATAGTCTTTCTGAAACTTTTTACTGAAAAGTCGTTATCAATCTAGTTATTGGGAATATCACATATGTAACTAAATCTAAACTCTTTATTTAATATTAATTAATTTGTTTTTCAAAACACGGGAAATGGTTAAAAACTCATCCTATTGGGTTGCGTCGCAGCAATTTCTTGCATTTAAAATTGATATTTAAGTTTAAGAACATCTAGTGGCTAGAAACATCTAGTGATATAATTTTTTCTGGACGCGGCAACCTTTATACAATAGACATTTAAGTTTCAAGGATAAAGAATATTTCAGTTGGACCATGTATTAAAAGGACGGAGGCTACTCTATTCCACACTAAAGCTAGATGTGAGATAGGGCTGAGATTCATGCATACACAAATTTATTTTATAATTTATTTTAATAATTAATACAATTATTTCACTTCCAAATTTGAAATCAGGATCGTGTTGCGTTATGTTGTGTGGAAATAGTAAACTCTGTATGATAAATGCAGTTATATGATGCACATATATTTCAAATGTTTGGCGCATATTCCAGAGGCCATGGCCGGAGCTAACAGCTCAATGGCGTCAGTAGCTGAGAAACGCCGTCTTCGAGAGGTAGAGTCGGCGCTTGAAGAAGTTCGTAAGAAAATACGCGTACTCAGATCTGAGCAAGCCAGCCTCGAGGATGAAAAGAAAACTCTCGAGCAGATTATCAAGAGTCAGGTAATTATCAAGGCACAGCGCTGAGCTTGGGCTATATATTGTCGAGTCGATTGTCATCTGTAGACAAGTTGCATTTAAGGTACAATACTTCTCGGACCTATTACTTCTGAGGTTGCAGAGTTTATAATATGAGTTCTTTCGTGATGTACTTGCTGTGTACATTCCTCCTAGTCAATAACTGCACTTGTATTTTTAATATGATGTGTGTGGTTACAGGTGGTACGTCAAGACGGCCAAGAGTTCCGTGGGAGCAATTTTCCATGGTCAGAAAAGATTGGTAGCCTGCGTAAGGATGCTTTCGGAATTGAAGCGTTTCGAGGCATGCAGGAAACTGCCATCAATTGTATTCTTTCAGGTGCTTACAGGTCCTTTTTGTATCCTAGCGCATTGTACTGAACGGAACTATCTGCAGACAGTATCTATAAAGAGTAATATGTTAGCTTGTTAAAGCATCATATACAGCTTTATATAAAAGCTGACAGATCGAAATGCTTGGAAAGAGTTTCTACTTTCTCAAAGAATGTTCTGAAAAAAATATGTTGACTTTATCAACTTGACCTAATTTCATTAACGTGGAAAACAAGACATGTTCGTGTTGTTGTTGACTGTTACGGTTACCCATGTTAGCTTACACGGATACAATCACTATACTGTTGCGTTCAATATATTGTTAATTCATATGCAATATTTTCAAATTATGATTTAATAAGAAGAACGATTGTTCTGGGAGTTCTGTTTTTCTTTTGCAGGCAAAGATTGTATACTAATAATGCCTACTGGAGGAGGGAAGAGTTTAACCTATCAACTGCCTTCTATGTATCTGCAGGGTCTCACGATCGTAATCACACCTCTTGTCTCGCTGATGGAAGATCAGGTATGCTTTTTCGTGCAAACAGAAAAACAAGCTTAGCTGGTTCTTCATTAAAACTTCTTGATTGCAGCTTGTGAGAATTTCGCGTTAATGCTATCAATCACAATCAAACTGATTACATACGTTACTCGTGCTTTGTAGTTTTTTTAATGTTTTTCAGTCTTAAAGGCCTTTGCTCGATATACCTAAAGATATACCTTCTGTTTACACGCACATTGTGTATAGGTCATGCAGGTTCAGACGCGTTGTCCTACTTTGCCAGTAGCATGTCTTCATTCGCAACTTCCACGCGAGGAAAGTTCCTCGATCCTCAAGCGAATGCTATTTCCGTCAACGAGTGAAAATACGCTGTTACTCTATGTGACTCCGGAGCGACTTGCAAAGTCGAAGCTCTTCATGAGTAAGCTGCAAAAATGCTGGGAATTAAAAAAGCTTAAACTTCTTGCTATCGACGAGGTTCGTGAATGAGTAAAGTTGTATATAGAGTGCTAAATCTGCGTATCTTTTAATCCATGATTTCTTAACGTGGGTGCACAAACACATCTGCCGTAACTGCATACGTGTGGTTCATGTGCCAATTGTTTATATAGTACACCTTATCAAAGTCACTTTAAAAGATTTCCTAGTGTTCTAGTACTATGTTAAATTTACGTTTTAGCCTGAATGTATTGTAGTTACTATAGTGTGCATTTACAATAGTGCGGAATGTTAAAGAAGAACTGCTCATTTCAGGTACATTGCTGTTCGCAGTGGGGCCACGATTTTCGCCCGGATTATAACTATCTTGGCATTTTAAAGAAGCAGTTTCCAGGCGTACCAGTACTTGGTTTAACAGCTACTGCCTCCCGTACGTTGGCTGCGGATGTTATTGAAATGTTGTCGCTTGATGAAGATCTCGCCATTTTACGAGATGCTTTTGATCGACCCAACTTGAAGTATAGTGTTGAACGGGCGCCACAGGATGTCCCAAACGCTATCGGAACCCTTATCAAAAGCCGGTTAGTTATATTTTCGCTATGATTTAACTCAAAGGTATCATGTGCAGCAAAATATCAGATCAATACCAGTTGATGCGAGAAGAATTGTGATACTGATTTTTTTATGAGATAAGTGTAACTGAATCATAGTAGCTGAAGCTTAAACGATCGAAAGCTGTTATATAGAAAATGTATGTACTAAATCTTTCTATGTCGCAATAATAATAATGCGAAAAATATTAGTTTATTCTGTTCTTTTTTTAAATTTAACTTGAATAATAAAGCTGTTAATATTACACCTATACGGTGGTTTTGATAAGTTTTAGCACAATAGAACTGTATGCAATGATGCAGAGGAAGTATATGTCGATGACGGTACTAATTGAGATGAGAATTATTTATTAATATGTACAGGTATCGCGATCAAACGGGTATCGTATATTGCTTCTCAATAAAAGAGGCGGAAGACGTAGCTGTACATCTCTCTTCAAAGCATGGCATTTCAGCTTACCCGTATCATGCTTCTCTCGAATCCGAAAAACGTTCAAAGGTACACCGGCGATGGTCATCTGGAAAGATTCAGGTTAGTGTTAGTAGCCGTGTCCTAAATTATTAACATACGGAAAATGCAAAAAGGTAGTAATTACTCCATAAGAGATAGGTAGCCCTGTCAGCAATTAAATACTGATTGTATTCGGTATGCCGTTATGGATAAATTTCGTGTATAAAGCTTAACTTATTTCGTTTCACAGGTAGTGGTTGCAACAGTTGCCTTTGGAATGGGCATCGACAAAGCAAATGTTCGGTTCGTGATTCACCACACGATACCAAAGTCTATGGAAAATTATTATCAGGAGTCTGGTAGGGCCGGACGTGATGGTCTACCTGCGGACTGTATTGTTTTTTTTCGTTTTCAAGATATTTTCCGTCAGTCGTCAATGGTCTACGCTGAAAAGAATGGCGCCAAGAATCTCTACAGGTTGGAATTTTCGAATTTTTTCAGTTGTATACTTTAAACGTTCTTTATATTATGGTTTCGATAGGCAACGACCCAAATGAGACGAGAGGGTCTCGTTACTCCATCGCTAATAAAGCTATTGAAAAAAATATTACTTAACTGGAAAGGGGAGTTCATTGGGTAAACTAAAAGTTGCCTTTTACATTAAACCAATAAAGAATGGCCGGGAACGTTATTGATTTGAAAGAGAATGATCAGTAGACATATATGTGATATAAATTTATAGTAAAAAGTTAACAATAACAGCTGGTAAGAGGATCTGTTTAAATCTCTTAAGTAATTATGTACAGATGTCGTGTAAGCCAATAATAATGCACATTAAAGGTGAATTTGGCTTCCCTACAACGAATGCTTAGAATGAAAAACTATTCCTGCGCTTAGTCTATATTAATGTAATCTATTATTTGAAATATCTAGCGTCGTGGCATACTGTTTAGACCAAAGCCGTTGTCGGCGATCTCTTTTGGCCAAGTACTTCAGCGAGGACAAGGATTCGCCTACATGCTCCACATCAATGGTTATCAATCGGCAAGGTTTTTCTAAGTCTCAAGAAATAAAATGCGATAATTGTGCGCATGGACACCAACCGCGCACCTCCGACGTGTCCAATGTTATCAAAATCATGAGTCAAGTGAGTTATGTTTTTATTTCATGACAGTGAATTTTTTTACCTATTGAAGAACAGCAGTTAACTGACTTTTCCACCTCCGATAAGACAAATGGAATAACTCAGCAAATCTTGTTGAACTAATATATCGTGTTAACGTTGTATGGTCAATTGATATGCGCAACTTGTATGTAAATATTGTTTATTATTTAGGTACTTGATGAAGCTGAGATCGGTGAGATCCGGTTAACCGGCAATAAGTTGGTCGAGGCTCTCCGAAAAAAAGGTAAGGACCGTACCTCACTACCCAAAGAACGTCTAGAGGAGCTAGTGTCGTGGAGTCTCTGTCAGGGTTATCTCGAAGAGAAGTTCCACTTCACGCCCTACTCGACTATACCCTTTTTGTCAGCTGGAATGAAAATGTCGGACGTGGTCAGTGGAAGAGATCGTGCCCTTATGGAGTGTGTTCCTCTCGGAGATGGAAACGGGAGTAATGCAAGTACCAGTAAAAGCGTTTTTGCTGGAGAGAAAAGAAAACGATCTCCAGGCATTGTAACCGTTGCCGATGACGACTGAGTAACATCTTTTTTCATATATTTTCAATGAAAATACATATTGTATTCTTCAAAACCTTTGAACACGGTATGTACTGTCTGAAAATACATAGGAAAAGTTAGTAAGCTTTAGGCCATTCTCAAAATGTGTACTTCGTTCGTGGCGAAGATGTTCGTCTTTAGCTACAAACAAGTATGAGTGCATATAGTGCGTAATTAAAACGGAAACGTATGCAAATGGTATATACATATATCGAAGCAGGATTAATTTGTTTCTGAAAGATTGTTAAATGGCTTGCCAACTAAGTCGGTACTTAACATATGAGCTTAAAGAAGAGAAGAACTTTGGTTTGGTTAAGATGCTTGTTGTCAAAGATGTTCAATAAAATTTCGCTAGTACACACTATTATCAATTTGACAACATATTCAACATGTAAATCGAAATGTTTTTGGTAAGCCTGTATGATCCATGATCGATGTTTCAATCAATATTTTTGTCTGCTTACTCGCTGTTTTAATTTTCTTTATTGCTTTTATTAAAAAAATCCGAATAATATCTATAATGTAAAAAAAGCTACTTAAATAATTTGCGCGCTCACGCAAAATATACTTGGGTTGCAGGAGATATAAAATATATAATTTCAGTCTCTAAACCTGCTTCAGAATTCCCAAGCAGGATTAGCCTTGTGGTACGTTATATTGTTTGTTTTTACAAAAAGCTCGGGCGTTTCATTACAATGTACATGTTCATTGTCTGCGGCGCGTTGGGAACCCATTTAGACAAGAATATACCGGAAGGAGGCTTAATAATTAACGGTAGTCATACACTAAAAAGTGTAGACAAACTTAATTTGTTATATCACATAATCATTATATTAATGTATGATATATTCTATATTAATATATGACTATTAATAAAGGGATCTGTCAGAGTTTCTTAGTGCACGATTTAATGCACACACTTTTTTCAGCAATTGTTGTGAGAAATCGAATTCATTTCGGGAACTACTTTTCCAAAGCCATATTTTACTACGCTGCCATGAAGTCGGCTATTACACTTAGGACTACGAGTAAGCATTTTGTTTTACACCAGAAGGAGTTGTGCATGTTGCATAAGATCTCTACGTGAACTGCACATACTATTGTATACGAATGATTTACAGTAGAAGTTATTAAGTAAAAGGGAAAGCCATTATGATTTTAGACATAACACGGCGATATCGCAGCACGTTAACCATAAATCAAATTTGTATATTCGTTGATCTTACCCTAAAATATAGAACAGACGGTCTTTCGATTGCAGCTGGTAGTTATTTGCGGGAATATTTCGGATTAAATTAAGCCCTAAAAGAGTACTGCATCTCACTCTAAAATCTCTATCCGACACATATGAAGACGAGCCAAAGTAATAAAGATATCCTCACTATGCATTGCATCCTGCAAAGCCGAGGGCGCGGCGAAGATTCAAATAATAATATCTGGTGGCATTATGAAAGATATACAACACAGGTCAGTGTCACAAATCTTGATTTCGTGGTCGGCATGTCCGTCTTACTGCGAGATGAGCTCTTCGTCATAAAAAGTCATGCTATCGATGTAGTTGTCTCTTCAGGTGAAACCTTGCGCATTTTGTTCCCATCGGGTATGCAAAATGTGCGAGGGATAACCACGTCCGGAGACAATAACTTTGTGTAAACATAATCTGGCAGGATATTTTTAATAGGCAATACTAAGAGAACTCCCAGCGCTGAGCTTGTATTCGACAGCGAGAATAGTACGAATTTGCAAATTGTCAAATTAAACGAACATGTAATAAAACTAGTTTGTGTTGATAGAAAAAGAGCTGGCCATAAAATAAGTCGTTTACGATCGTCTCGGAAAATTGGTGTCCGACGAAACAGTCTTTACATCACCTAGACTAGCTAGACTCTTTCCAGTGGGGGTACATAGCGAGCGCAATATAATGTTTTTATGTGTACAAATAAACCTAATAATCTTAATTTGAGTAGCGTTAATGTAGAAATGCAGTGTGAAAAGGCCTTACGTTCGCATAATTGCGCGTAGCCTGTCGAAGCAATCGAGAGGGCAGATCGATGGTATGTGTCAATAATGACAGTAAAATTTCAGTAGACATCTTTTGTGATCAACTCTAGCGACACCCACAATATGAAAACGATGTCCTTTGGGCAGCAAATTATCGAGTTGTTTTGACTCCATATGTCGATCAGAAAGAGCTATCATGACGAACTTGATAGTTAAAGGGCACGAAAATGTTAAAACCGTAATGTTTCCAGAAAAAGGCACCTAATTGAAATTACACGTTGGTATTGTACTATAAGTGGGCCTTGGTAAATTAATCCGTTCTGATTTCCGAGCTATATCAATTCGTACTTTCGTTTTATGAACAGTTCAATGTGCCTTTTCGTCTATTAAAACTTGGTGCCCTTGATTTGATAGGAAGGCTTTTTTTGGGCAGCTTTAACAAACGCGCGAAAATGGCCACACAAACTTATAAACGTTCTTATATATATTTAACGTTACGTAACAATTACTTGTTGCCGCGAATAAACTCCTCCATCATCGACAACTAAAACGGGTTTACCTTGTATTGAAACGTTCTAAAATTGCTATCTTATTTTTTCAGTTGCTCAAACTTCTTCAGAAAAACCTTTATGGGAAACATTGCAACTTTTCCGTCCCGGTTCCACAGTGATTTTACTCATAGTAGGTAAAGGTTAGTCATCAAATTTATGATTGGTGTTGTCCTTGCTAAATCGATATTTCGTGCAAAGTATCTTGAGTTTTGTTGAATTCTGGAGTAGCGCAGCAGATCTTAAACCAAAAACGGAGCATGAAACTGATTTATTCGACTTTCAGACGGCACACATCTTAGCACGACCTTACTTATAGGCCATCTAGAGCTACTTTTACAACTTTTATGAAATTGCTCCTGTAGTCTGTTGTGATTGTAGGATTGCTGCCTTTACGAATATCACTACCGCGACCAGCTAATCTGCTTCTGTCATTACGAACTTTGTCAAAACATACATTTAGCTGTGGTATTCACTTAATATAACTCATTTATGCCAATCATAAATAACTTTTCTTCTGAATAGAGTTCTTTAGCCTTAGACTGTACAATACGTGGACATCGGAACAGGCTTCTATACAAATACAGCCTGGTATTTTGCTCGAAAAATTACGGCAGCCGATTGTCGTTCATGTTAGAAGCATCCATACATATTAGTCTCTTTATTTTTTTCATTACTTGATCATAAAATGCACATCAATGTCGGCCCTGCCATGCGATGCCTACGCGAGCCACAAAACAAAATTTTTCTATTGAAAATTTTGAATACGTATCGTTCTTACCTTATGTTTTGTTGTTTAGAAAGGTTTTTCGAACATCCGAAAGTAAAATGCGTAAATTCACCATACATTACGTAAAATTATCTGCGTACCTAAATCTTCCAAATTCCACTTTCGTCGTTATTTATTATACATCTTCAATGACAATATCAATTTTTTTGCTAGAATTGTGCGTATTTACTTCCTGTATTTCGATATTATTATTCACATTGGATCCTAACTCGTTGCTGCTTAGTTCTGTTTTTCGCCGTACAGAATCTAGCCTCGCCGAAACGTTGTGTAAGTTAAACAGTTATAATGGTACATACCAATAAGGTAAAGTGTTTAATATCGCAGATGATTTCAGAAATCTACTTTATTTAAATTGATCTTTAAATTCCTGCGAGGTTTAGAATGCATGAACATGATTTTATTTTAGTACCGTTATAAATATTCTTGGTATATTGCTGGTTTCTTGTCTTAACATTTATCACAAGTGTGTTTTCAAGTGGCTGAATTCGAGATAGAGACTTATATTTTTCAAGACAGCAAGGTTTTTTGCCGAATGGCCATATTCATAAGATCTGTGTCTCTACGAAATTCACCACAAGATATCGATGTTATAACGGGAATCAAAACGACTCGATCTTTTGCTGATTCAAATTTAAAAGTGCTTTTAGTCTGAACATTAGGGCTGGTGATCGTGTTGCGACTGCGATAGACGTTAGAAACGCAACGTTTCCATTTTGTATTGCGTCGGTATAATACAAATTTTCGCTATGCAGGAACATTCTCTGCCGCTGAATGCCGATTAGGAATAGGTTATTGTGGCTTTCATGACAAGCCAAAAAATTGTCCCGTCAGCACCGTGCAACCATCGATAAAATCTCCTGTGGTAAGTTGGGAGATTTCTGCGTCGAACACAGTTACTTCATGCATACTGCGAGTTAACCGTCCAAAACTTCGTTCTTGGCAGTGATCAGAAGAAGTTCCAGGATTTCAAGGATGACTATTTAAATGTTTTCAAATACTTGTCATTTTCTCCATAGAACAGATAACTAATAGTTACAGTTTTTATGAGTGCAGTAATGTTTTTAGCGCTATTGATAAGAATAAATGTGCCCAGAGTCTCCAGAGCTTTTACTTAGGATATTTTATCCACCCGGAGGTGCAAATTACGTTCTGACCATTAGCCTACTAAATGTAAACTAATCGACAGGGCGAAGATAGGACATAAGTATAATATACGCAAACTATTATAACTACAATGGAGCACGACGCTATTGAAGTAGCCATGAATAGAACGGTGTAATGAAAAAAATCTCAAACCTTAATTTAAGGCAGCATGTAGGCAACGAATTATCGTTGGCTTAACAAGAATATAGTGTTATGCATAAATAATTAGAATAATTATGCGCATTGCCTGAAGAACGCACAATTATAGTTTATTAGCAAATAGTTATAAGGTACCACGGTAGCGTGCATGCGTGCACAAGGTGTCCTAACCTAAATGAAGCACAGAGCCATATCCAATGTATAATGTTAGTTGAGCGACTGAGATCTTGATGTAGTACCGCTGCTGCTTCTAACTGGTTTTTTCAATATGAAATTTATCATGCTGTCACATTTGTAGACTAAACATGTGTTTATGGACAAAAAGCTCACTTTCGCGGGACAAAATTATCTAAAAACGGCGATGTTGCTATCTTTTCCCTCTTCTGAATATAATCCACCTAGTTCAGTTTGAACTAAACAAAAACATTCATATTTGCCTAAATAGTGCATATATTATAACCGAAATGTACAGTTGTGGAATAGGTCAACCACAACGTTCGGATTGAATTATCTGAGAAGACTTGGAAATACAGATGCAATTATTTTTAAAGCTACTTCTTTCATCGGTAAAAACACTTAAATATCCAGTAGTCAGCGCGTCCGACGAAGCGTCATTAAAATGGAGTATATAACAGAACGATATGTATTGTTTAGTTTATGAATCGAGATCTACAACGAAGTCATTAACTTGATGTTTGTTGTGCGTTATTTTGAGCTTGAAAGACCTTCAACTTCGTCGTTAAAGTGATGAAATGCTAGCCATCACAAATTTAACACTATTAGTAACCTTTTAGAAATTTATAGCAAATGTTCAGCTACGATTTCAACAATTGTGTTATTTCATATCGCGAATTGTTCGCTCGAGACGGAGCACAAGACTACCTGTCAAGAAAAGATTAATCTTCAATCTGCTGGAGGTACGCTGATAGAGTCACAGTTCAAAAGGATCAAGATACAGTACGGCAGTATGATTGGCTGTGTTTTCGAAGCTGTTTATAGAATGAAGGTGATTGACGGGATCAAAGGCACATCGATTGTTTGATTCGGCTTCCGCAAATGGCAGAATTAAGATGTAAACGAGCCAAGTTCCAGGCTTCAGGCGTATGCAAGAAATGTCTTAAAAAGCAGCCAATGAAAGAAGGCAGCAGGAGCAATACACACAAAATAGCAACAGGTTGGATTCAGTAGCATGTATCACGTCTTTTATCAGCAGAGGTCGCAGTAGTACTATCAAATCGTTCAAATCGGAATGCATAAATGAGTATGTGTTTTTGCTAAGCTATTGATATTCTTATTACATTAATTCAAAGCATTCATTTTTACGCTGATCCGCGGTGAAAACATTTTATGAAAGAGTCACATTTCATGCACTCCGTTTGTGGATAACGCGGTTCAGTCATTGCAGTTTACGCTTAGAGAACGCGGCCAAGCGGCGACGCATGTATGGGCTTTGTAAGTGATTTGAAGAGGTTTGCACAATATCTACTACCTTACATATTCTTGGAGAGGTGCATGCACGGTTGGAATGGCTTTTGCAGACCTCCAAGCATCTTCAAAGTTGAAGCCTAAACCGGTCGTTGAACAAGTCTTTTCAGTGCCGTTTAAAATAAAAGAGACACCATCGTTTACTTTTACTGGTGTTAATTTCACTAGGTAAACCTTTTCTAAGAGGAACAACAGATCACAGGCAAAAGCCTATGTTACTCTGTTTCCATGTTCAAGGATTTTAATGAACTGAACATTTAAACTTAGCTCAAATTTGATTATTTCAACATGCAACACATTGTCAGAAGTAATAAAGTCAACTTCCGATCACGCGCAAACGTTCCAATGAATAGCAGGGGGATTGGAATACGTTTTTGCACATTAATGGCAAGTAAATTCGGGCATCAGTGCTTTATTGGTACGGATTCAGTAACATACATTCTAATGACTGTACTAGGTATAACATATGTCCTAGTGCATGTCATCATAACAATATTTAGAGATGAAACTTTTCTTGCGCCGGAATGAGCGCAGCATGATTAACATATCCCTGCTAGGCTTAGCAACAATGATCATCTGAAAATTACCCCTTTAAGAAGCTACTTCTTATTTGGAAGAGTGAGTTTTAGCATGGATATGGCTTAAATAAATATGATTTAATTTCATTCCAGTAAATATACTTTTGGGATGTTTTTAGGCACAATTAAAAAATGTGGGAAAAAAACGCTGCTTGTGTCTTTGTGCGTAATAACCGACCCAATGGTGGCTTACCCCACGCTCGCTTCCAAAGACGTTGTGTTACCCAAATATAACGAGATGCTAGAAACAGTTCATTTAATAGTATAGATTCCTTTACCATGTATGAAGTCAAATCTTTTTATATATATACACCAGCGTTACGATGACTCTCGTTTGTTCGATTCGTTACAATCTAACCCGTTAACCTTCTGAATTTTATTCATTAGTCTATTCTGATATGTTTGCCAACGACCTCACCTAACTGTAGATCTGTGTCTTGTTGGCTTTTGATAGGTTTCTATAATGTAATGACGGGGTTTTTCTAGTGTTTTGACTGACCCTGCTTCGGGAACGCACATGAGTAGGGTTTACCACATAAGTAGGTTTGCCGAACTTTAAGGGAGGTACGTGAGTCTTAGACTTGTAAAACATATTGCTATACCTATTGATTCTATTTCCGGAATGTCGCCGACGTAATAAATAGCTACATATTTTACAAAATGAAAACCTAATAAAGATGGCATGATAATTTTATATGTTTCAATTGATGTACTAACTTGTTTTTTAGGATATCGCTTCTTTAATCATCTTTTGTCAACAAGTGGTTACCTCTGTGTTGCATGAAGACTGGTTAGCATGGTAATTCTGTCTTTAGGAAATTTCCAAACATTGAGGATTTTTATATTGTGTTAATTTTTTATAATAAATATGTATACCTTTATTTTGATATCTTGTGTCTTTTTTCTCAAAATGATTCAGGAATGTTTTCTCGAAAATCAGCTCAATATTAACTGCTCTAACTTCCAATTGGCATTTTTTGAAATGCGCTCAAGTAGCCATTCGAAATGCATCTCCACTCTACTGTCACGTGGGCAATACGAACCCGTCAATACAATTTTAACCATTTTTACGCCGAAATATTCATTTTAAGTATAGGAACATGTATTACCATTTTACCCATCTCGTCGATTGGCATCAAGAAAAAAACTTTTCCATAAAACGCTAAATTAGGTTTTCGCCTTTCGGGGGTAATTTTTAACCTGAGAATTGAAAAATGAGAAAAAACAACGCCAAA